TACCACTACCACTACCACTACCACTACCACTACCACTACCACTACCACTACCACTACCACTACCACTACTACTACTACTACTACTACTACTACTACTACTACTACTATTCCTGCTCCTGCTTTGGGGGGGTGGCTTTGCCACAAAACTCTACCCCGCAAAAGGCGAAAGTTTGGCGAAAGTTCATCTCAAGATTGGCGAAAGTTCACCCTGCCACATCTGACCCCCAGCCCATTATGAGTAAGTTTGAGTGACCGGCTACTACAGTGATTCTTGCAATTTTGATTCTTGCTGACACCCAGGAGAAACAAAAGAGACGTACAGGGTGTCAACAGTTAAGTAGAAGACACATGCTGACAAACAGTGAAGTTTCTATTTTGTGTTTGCCAGTAAAGAAGAAGCCATTGACGTGAACAAAACACAACATACATGGCGCACATAAGCACAACGTACTTCGGCGAAAGATAAAAAGCAGGAAGGCGAAAGCTTGGCGAAAGTATTTTTTTTGCGAAAATGACGGATCCCGGATAAAGGAATTTAGATCAACTCCCACATGATCTCCTTCAGGAGCCGCTGTCACTAGAACCACCACAAATAGATTGCAACTTTCTCAACATACCCAGACGCTCCGTGAAAACAGCCCGACTGGTCCCTCCAAACCGGGATTGGTCCGGGTCCGGACCCCTCCGGCCAGGGTCCCAGGGTCGCGTCCGGGTAGATCGAAACATCAACGTTTGGCATTAGGACGTGGCTTTGGACGCTTTGGACGTTTGCGCCAAAGGATGAGAAAGAAGGTCATCGTTCGAAAGAAAGAAACCCAGACGATCCGCTTGCTTCTCGGTAGGGTGCCGGTGATGCGTTAGTTGTTTGCATGGTTTCCCTACAAGTCCAAAGATTCAGTAAAACCTGGTCTTTTTGGCCTCCTCAAGTAGCGTTTTTGTATGACCACGTCCAGTCAAATGAGGTCAAACTGACCTGTAGGATTTGCATTTGTTTCATCCAGGTTCAAACGGAATTATTCATGGAGGGGCCAAGTGCCTGCCATGATTCCAATCTTTTGGGTACGTCCTATTATATGCCTGTCTGACAGTCCGTAATTAGACAATTATCACTATTTTTCGACAAGGCCACAAGGCTTTTCAACCACCATCATACACTGTTGCAGCTATGAGGGATAGACCCAATAGATATCAACAGATCATCCAGCACAAACACGTACACATCCCTCCGACTCGGATCAGTGACTCTATAGGATAGTACTCCGACCAATTTTCCTTCTCCAAATCGTTTGAGAGTCTCGCTACCGGTCGCCAACGTACACCGCCGGCACCGGTCACCAGGCCCCCATGCAGCCACGAGCCGCTTCGGCGCTGCTCGCGCAAAGGCGCACCTGGCGGGGTGGAGAGCGGGGCCAGGAGCTTCAGTTCGTGAGCACCACCCAGATCTAATCCAGCACCACCCAGGAGACAGGTGGTGGTTTTATAGACCCGCCTGAAGACGCATCGTCCATCCAATAAGCACCCGAGCGACATGGGTGATGCTGGATCAGGTCACTCTTAGGTTTTCCGGTTTTCCCTCTTCAGAGGTCATGACGACGTCGCATTTCGAAGAGGCCACGGACATTGGACCAAGTTGGAAGAAAGATCTGCGCCGCTGCGCCTTGACATTGCACCATCAAACATCTCTACATCCATCCCTCCCAAACCACCCGGGAGAGAGGTGCATCCCTCCTTGGTGAGGGTCCCTCCCAAACCACCACAGATCTGTTTGGACATGTTTGGACCCATCCCTCCCAAACCACCTGGGAGAGGTCTGTGCATCCCTTTGGCGGGTCCAAACAAATCTGTTCCTGAGACGGGACAGAACCCCAGTGGGAACGGACGTCCGTGGTGAACATGTCTCGTGACAGGCACCCGAGAGCCAACAGGTCAGCAAATCTCAGGAATGGACCTCGAAGATCGAGATCTAGTGCGACTGATTGACAATCAAGATGAAAGAGCTGCAGGTTAAATCAGTCAATCACCCTGCAGGTCAGGAACTGACGTCAGTTGACTGGAGTTGGTCATTACAAAAACACGACTCCAGGATGTAAAAGAACAGGTTTTACTGGGTTTGTTTGGACTTGTAGGGATTGAAAGCTTGGCCCAATTTTCGACCCGGAAGATACCAGAAACATCCGAATGGCTCGAGCTGTGGCGAGATCGGTGTCATCGTTGCATGGTAGTGGAACATGGGTACAACTTGGGGAGTGTTTCACTGGCCGGTTGGACTGAACCATGAAGAGGACAACGAAAGTGTCGGTTCCTTTAGTGCCTTTTGTATCGCTTGATCGCTGAATGTGTCGGTGGACGGCGTACGTGTAACTATCCGACGTTGAGACGTGGTTTGAACAGCGTCTCACTCTCGGAAACGGAATTCCGTATTTTTTTGTTCGGGTTCCCGGTGGCCATGGGCCCGGGTTGTGCATGCAAAGCCCTGGTTTGAAGCAGGCACCAGGAAGAGAACTGCCTGTTGCCTGTTGTTTTCGTTTGGAAATGTGTTTTTTCATAGAAAGCAACTGCTCCCTTGCGTTCTCTTCTGTTCGATGATTCCAATATATTCCAATGCCATTGAATATCGTTGAATCTTTATGGCTCCAATCTCCAGCTTGCCTCACTAGGGCATGTCACTGTGTCCTACAAGCTTTAAAGGGCGTGACAAAGAAGAACGCCTTACTAAAGCATGCAGCCCGCAGCTGGCAACTCATTGAGCACCTCAACCATGGAAGCACAGCGACTGTGATGACCTGAAGGGTGGGTGTTTGGCCATCACATGGCTCCACGAAACCAAAGCCAAAGCCAAAAACTACCCAGGAAAAGTGGAGAGCCCGTTGATATCCTTTAATCATATGCTTCTTTCCACACCAAACAAGAACATTGTAGTATATACAATACTTAAAATGTTATATAACCGTTCTTCTGCTTGGCATCTCCCGCACCGGGGGGGGCCTTAGAATTACACACACGGACGGTGTTGACGCTTCTCGTCCACCACTCCGTGACGCCCGGAAGCGCGATGATCCGAGACTTTGCCAAGAAGGAACTGGCGACCTGGCTCAGGAAGTGGGTATAGGTGACCCTTGCCAGTGAAGAAATCCCGGCCTTGGGCTCCGGTTTGCACCCCCCTCCGTTTTGCTTCGGTGGGACATGGGACTGGTGGGCTTGGAGGGTCCAATACCTCCACCGAAGCTGAGGAGATGGGCCGTTTGGAGCCCGGAGGGGAAGAGACTTGAGATACCTGCATATACCCTCAGAAGTCCAAGCTTGGCTCATTATGCCCCGATTATGCCTTTGCTAGTTGAATTATGACTCCCAGGCGGGGTCAAATGATATGGACGAGAAGCATATTCCCTTCAAGGTAGCTTCCGTTGCTTGGGGGCCATGGTCCTTCAGCTTGAGTGGGATGTTTCTTTGTAGTATTTGATCATATTGCTTGCTTGTTTGGAAGGAGATGATTGTCGGCTTTTTGGGTCCACAGAGAGGGTTCTTGGCAGAGCACAGACGTCCCAACTCCCGTTGACCCTTTGCCACCTGTGACTTCCTCTGAGAGGTGGCTTCACCTGAACGAAGCATCAAAACAGAATCCGCCACACTGAAGGGAGGCACCTTGGAATCAGCCCCCTGTACTGTACCAGTGTAATACTCCATGTCTCTATGTCCAACTACCCAACATTTTGCAACTCTACACCTGTCTCTTTTCTTTGGCCATTTGTTGAGATCCACGTCCTTCTTCCATCAGGATGACTGAAACCCAGGACCACAAGGACCCACCACTCGCACCATCGCCCCATCGCCGGCCCAGCAACTTCACTCCTGAACGTCCACCGTGGTGAAAACCACTCCTCCCCTGCCGGGTCGACCCCTCCCCAATTCCAACGAACTAGGTCCCGTCTCGGACCCGGAACACCTGGGGGTGCCCGAACGTTCGGATCGTCTTTCACGTTGTTCTTCCACCTGAACCGGCCGTCAGGTCGCTGAGAAGCTGGCCTTTTCCTTCGGCCAGAGCGGCGACTTCACCGTGGTGGCCCTCTCCGAGTCGGCGGACGACGGCTCCGCGAAGTCGCGACGAGAGTTTCAGGCGAGGGTAGGGAAGAAAGGGTGGAAGAGGGGTGGAAGGTGGTGGATGGAACGGATGGAACTGTAGTGGCTGGTGTTTTTCGGTTCCAGCTAGTGATCAAAGAAGTCTAGCTGATCAAAGAATTAACAGCTGAATAGAATACAATATACAGAGGATGGAAAGAGAAGGGTTCAAGTCTGGTGACTGGGCTCGGTATCAGGTGAAGATGGTGACCACTTCTTGTTGTTGAAGGATTCAACAGAATTTCATTGAGTGGGGACGGGTTTTGTTTCGTGCATGGGTACTTGGTTCAGGGCACCGTTCTTCTACTTACGAAGACTTACATTTTCTGTTGTGAACTGCATTGAATGTGACAAAAGCTTGGAATATGTTTTTGTTCTGAGCCGGATTTTCTGGATACTCCATCCTCCCATCCTCTTGCCCGCCTGGTGGGAGGTGTGGTCTCATATTTTGTCATCTTGGTCGGATGTCTTCGAGAAGATGCTGAGCCACAACTTGAAAGAAAAGGCGGAGCAAGAAGTGGTCGCTAGGCTGATCCTGGCCACTACAGAACAAAACAAATGGTCATATGAGTCATATATGATGTAGCTTGAGTTTACTGAGTTTACTGGTTGATGAAACAGCTACTATTCAGATGCCCTTCTGGTGACCTATTTGATGGATTCTGATTTTCGGCGCACAATGTGCAGGTGCCACTGTTGTGGGGTAGTCTGGGGGGGCCAGGAGAGTGTAAAAGAACGAAAAAGAGGCAAGGTCCGCACTTTTTGATCCAATGGCCATTTATGGTGCAGACAAGATGGAGCATGTTGTGGTGGCAGATCATGGGCGGGTCTGTTTTCAACATGATCAGTGCTTATGATCCTTTGCAGCTCATGTGGAGATGAAAGTCGTTGAAAGGCGCGGTCCGCAGTCAATCTTGCACAACCGATGGGTTATGGATCATGGATTATGGTCAGCTGTCATCTTAATTTTTGGGAGCAGTCTTGCAAGTTGGTGGAACAACAGATGGATTATGGATGCTTCCTGGCTTCCACAACCCATCTTAAACCATGCTTCCCTCGGTAAACAATTATCACTATTTTAGAGGAAGGCCTTTACTAGGCATCATCATGCACTGGTACAGGGCATGGGATACACCCAATGTTTGTTCACAAGAGAACCCGGTGCCAACGCTCCAAAACCAATTGGCAAACAGGCCAAATCAGGCCAAATGGTCGTACACTCCCCTGGGAGCCCCCAACACCCGAAAGTAAGGGCGCTGGATGCTGAGAGGTGGATTCTGTGGAAGAGCCCTTTGTACTCCAACATGCATTGATTCGAACACATTTTATTCTACTGCCTTTCGGTTGACTAGTTGCGGAACCTGACACTGATATGTGGAGATGGTGTCACATTTGTTTTTAAGGGTGACCCCAACAATCATCTTGAAAAAACTCTGACACTGTCTTGTTGCCACAAGAAAGGTGTTTCCTCCTCCAAGAATCTGTCCTTCAAAAAACTTAGGTTGATCCATCCTGGCTGGCTTGTAAGTCATACTGCGGCATAGATGCCCCTCTCCCGACTCGCTCCCGTCTGCCCCATCCGCCGCCCCCCATCCGGTCCCGGTCCTGAGGTCATTCAGGACTTCTCGCCTCAGGGGGTCGAGGCGAGGACCAGCATGGACCAGCATGGACCAGATACGACAGATATGTGGGACTGGCATAGCCGATCACCTAGGGTGGTTTTCCAAAGGGGTGAATAGAGGTAAATATGCCATGCATGGAGTGTTTTGGGACCAGCACTTGACCAGAGTTTATGCTGGTCCCCAAATAGATTAAATAGAGCTAGTGGCGCGGTGTTCAATACATGTTGAAAGGGATTTGACCCAATTTCGATCATTTGGGTTTTAGAACAACTCTTGCTCACGCTGTGTGGCGGCGCCAGAGTCTCCAGATGGCATGGAGTTCCTTGAAAGGCAAACCGTCACAAAGTCCCGTCAACCAAACCACCTCACACGACCATTGGATGCAGTAAAATGAGTCCGACGAACTACTGCCTGGCTGCAATCAGTAGGGATTGTTTCAAGAAGTTTCCGACCAAGCAGCCAGTATCAAACATGTTTGGTTTAGACACGAGGTGGTCTTTACAAAAAGAAAGCTCACCGTTCTTCTAGGGCTGTCGCTCGCCCAACCACGATGAACCCTGATGCTGTTTCCGAGGCCTTCCTGCGCTTCCTCTATTCCGGCACCTTGGAAGTACCTCCAGGGACCCTGGTGGAGGTCATGCTGA